GTTAAGACATATTATACATTAGAACTTGTTTAAGGCAAAAGGAAAGAGGCATTCTTCTTTGATAAGTTCAAATGAAACATTTTCTCAAATAGTGAGCAAGACAGAGACAAACTGAAAAGAAGAAATTATTTCTGATAAGTACGTTGATTTTGGCACCGATATGCCTATTACAAATGGTGAATAGCAAAAAATTCCAAATTTCAATCAGTAACTGGTATTTCTAATAAATGCACTGCGTCAACCTTACCATAAACATTTCCAATACTTTTATTTTCATTCAACCAAAGGAATAATACTGGAACAGCCTGAGTAATGTTCACTGGTCTGTTTCATATATTTTTACTTCTAAGGAGACATATCAGTGTGATGTTCAGTTTTACAGCTGGCACTTGTCTCTTTGCTAGGCAAGTAGCCCCAGGGATAACTCCCTAAAGGCTATAGGACAGTATCTACTGTTGGCTGCAAGCTACCGAGACCCACCATTGGTGTAACAGGAAGCCTGCAGTTCCTGAAACTGCTAGAAATGAATAGTGATTTTTTTTTTCCAGAACAGGCAGGTCAGCAGAGCTCAAAGAAGGCTGCTCCACTGCCTTGTTCCTTTCTGGAAGTTGTTTCTTCTTTCCAAGATTGATTCAGGAACCACTAGCTTCCTGTTGCACTAGCAGTGGGTCCTGTGGATGCAGCAGAACAGAGACACAGCAGTAGAATTGGGTAATGCCCATGGTAGGGAAATAGGGAGAAGTCAACACTGAAGATGTGAGAGCAGTATCCAATAGCATGCTTAGGCCTATGATGATTCCTTTCTGCCTTGCTGCTTCTGTTGCTCAAGGAAGGATCCCACCAATTTGATTGCTCAAGTGGGACCTACCACTTATGCAAGAGAGAGTATCTCTTCTTGAAGGAAGCACTCAAACTAGCAGAAGCACTCATTTCCGAAAGTAGGCAGTGACACCTCCTTATTTGAGCTCTGCCAACCTGTATCCTTCTAGAAATGAGCATTTCCACTTGCTTGGATTTCCTCCTGCAAAGCACTAAGGTGGTGGAGGCCACTTACGCAGTGGAATTAGCAGTGCACAGGAGAATTAAGAGGAAATAAGAACCCCACTGGTTATGAGTCTAAACATTCACAGCTATTCATAAATGAGTTGCAGACCTAAATCCAAAACTTGGGTTTTAAAAATATTTTATTCCTATCCAATCTGAAAATCTGGGTGGATGGTGCCCACTTTGAAAGTCCAAATAAAATGATTAAATTCATCATGGGTTAATTGAGGGTTGCCTGAAACTCAGTCCTACTTCCTGGGTTCTCATGACACAACATCCTATGGCAAGTCTGGAGCCGTCGGGCTTTGTGCAAAAATGGCACCCACAGGTCCCCGATGGATTGCAACAACCCCCCTGGGTAAATCAGGCCATGGTTGATTGTTGTTTCATTTGAATCAATGTGTTCTGCTGATGTCTCATCTGCCACAGGAATCTGCATCTCCATGGCAACATTAACATCCCCTGGCCATGTCCCATACCGTGTGAGTTGGCTGTTGCTTCCCAATGCCCACCGTTAAGGTGGATCATGGGTAGAGAAACTAATTGCATGATGGGTTTGATACATGCAAGTAAGATACAGTAAAGGGTATGGGAATTTCACCATGGAGATGGCCTAGAGTGAATGCAGTGGCTAGAGCAGCTGTTAGTGCACAACTGGTAAACTCAAGGAAGGCATGCAGGCAAGTATTGTATTGTTTATCTCTATTTTGTTTACAGTATTAGCTTAAAGCTTATGGATTTTGAGCAAGTTCAGTGACTGAGAGCTCCTATTTTTTCAGTGTTGGAATACAAATATAAACATAAATGCTGAAAATTGAAAAATGCTCTATTTAGTCCAGAAAATCTAGAAAAGACTTCCACGGGGAGAGTAAGAAACATCTTGCCTCACTCTGTATATATAGTTAAAACCTTTTTAAAATTAACAATGTGGCTGAAATGAGAAGGTAATTGGTAATTGCTTATCTGAGAGTTAGTTAAGCCATGAAGCATTTTGAGCGCTCAAACAGTATCTCAAGCTGACTTATTCCCGATAATTTATAATGGCTGAATCCCTTTGTTTATTTTAATGTCACCTGAATCATGAAGCAGTTTGTAAAGCTTTAACATTTGTATAAGTGGCCTGCTCCTGCTCCCATTGAAACAACATGAAGCAAAATCAAATGAGAGCAAGACTGGGCCTTAAGTGAATGCTGTAATAATGGAAATGGGCCCCATTAACATGCTGTTGGGCAAAGCTTGTGTTCATGAGGATGAGGATGATGATGATGATGTGAGCAAAAATCAAGAGATGCACTAATATCCTAAAGAGACTGCTCAAGTGCTTGTCTTACTGCTCGCTATGCCAATTTAGATGAAACAATGTAATACCCAATGTCTTTAATTCAAAATATTTTTCCAGATCATTTTTTAAAAGAAGTTGGGACTCCTTTTTCTTTTCTTGGTGCAGTTTCACTAGTATTGCACAGGCTTCTGCTCCAGGCAAGCATGTTGTTTTGCTGATTCAGGCCTTGGGAATGCTGCATCATCTACAAATGCTTTCCAGTGTGTTCCTTGCAGATAATAAGATGTTTCTTCCCTATGAGTACACAATGGTCTCTAAGAAAAAAATGGTGTGATAACCTTTGTCAAACTGTTCATTTCTTATGTAAACATTTCTGTACAAATCATATAACGACAAGCTGCCAGTTTTTTCAGTGGAGTAGACCCTACCATTTTCTCATTTTTGTTAATAATTATGATGTAGAGTTCGATTTTTAAGGTACAGTTGTATATTTGTTTAGAATTGGCGGAGGCATTAAAACACTGGGTCTGATTTTGTTGCTGTTTAAGGAGCCAATAGAAATGCTCCCATTGGTCCCTTGCAAACGTAACATGGAATCACGGGTTTCTTATTACACTGAACAACTTTCATCAAAGCCCAGGTTTGTGCACTTCCCTTTGGCTATCCTCATAATTTGCTCCATAGAGGAAGAAATCAGAAGTATTCACTTTCAGTTTCAAACAAACCATCTTCTTTTGCAATATGCAATCCCAGGGAAATGTGTTTTGTTTCAACTATTGTTTCCGAACAAACCAGGATCTGAAAGCCTTGTTTGATCTTGGCTTCTTCTCTCTAACTATATTTAAACAAACCATGAGCTGTGATGTTAATGTGAACTGCGGCTCATTTAAAACTGAAAGTAAAAGCTTCTGACTCACTGGTGCAAAAGAGCAGGATAAAGAAAGGAGGACCGCCTGAGCCTGAGACTCACCACAGCTTAGTCATGTATCAAGAACCCCTAATTTCTCATTACATTTAGAACAAGTCATTACATGTAGTTTTCTCCCTAAGCCCATGATTTAAATTTTGATTGACTTTAATGGTCTAATATCAGACACATAATACACAAAGCCATTTTGCTTATAGCTTACTCAGCTCAATGCATCATATAATGTTTTCTCACTAAGTGCTGAAGGGTTTTCCTTTTGTTCAGCTGGTCTAGCAGCTCAAAATTGCAGTATCAGGAAGGGAAAAATCTTTAAAAATGTTAATTGGTTATGAAATACAGTCTAAAAAGAAATTAAGACTTGCTTCCTTGTGTAACCTAGGTTCCATATGCTTGCAGTCAAGGTATTTTTTCTTCTATCTCTTAGGAAATAAAGTGGCTGTGGCTGCTGGATTTCACTAGTGAAAGGATATGAATTTCATTGAACACCATCTGAGGATGGAGGGAAGAGAACTCCCCTGAGTTCTAAGTCAATCCCTCCTACATGCAGAAGTTAAATTAAAGTATAGATTGGGTCAGCAATATAAAAAAACAAGTTAATAAAACTGAAACTACCTAGAACTTCTAGCAGCAAAATATCAAGTAAAGCTATTGCATATTTCTATATTGCACAAACTATACATCCTGGGTTGAGGAATTAGGATTAGGCATACTTACCCTAGAGTTATTTAGAATCAGTGGGATTTAAGGTAGTCATGATTTCCTTGCCCACTAATTTCACTTGGTGTACTCTAAGCATGTGGTCTGGATTCAGTGTGTTAATAAAATATATCGTAGTCAATCTAATTGAGAGCTCAGTTTATTTATGCACACAGACTACTGCATATATGCACTTGTAAGTTTAAACAAATAGTGGTGTATATATCATAACTGGATAGATCAAATTGATTCTAGAATGGAAAAACATGATTCCTAGTGTCCATTTGCTTATCTCTTGAATAAAGTAGGCAATTGGTTTGGCTCAATAATTCTAAAAGCATTGAGCAAAAAATACAAAAAAATGGTGTAAAATCAACCTATATTAACCCTCTTCCTCCATTCAAAAACAGCTCTACCAAAAACAGCTTTGAAAAGCAGTCCATATAGTTTGATCAACTCAAGCTGAATTAAGTATTAATACAGGATTTTAGCCATGAGCCAGGTGCTTCCAGTTTAGGGATGTGCCATCCTCGAAATTCAATTCCGTTTAAGTCCAATGAGATTCTTCAGCATTTCCATTCTGGTTAGCAGTGGTGATCTGTAGAAGATTTTGTTTTACCAATTTTGGGAAAAGTTTGCCTATTTTATTCAGGTTCTACCATTTGAGAAGTAGGGAAATCTTGAAATTTGCACAACAAATTGTACCATCACTTTTTTTAAATGGTGGCATCATTGCCCAAGTGCACAGGAACACATGTCCATCTGCCTGTCTTATAAATCTACTTGTCAGTTTCATCCTCTCTACATGTTGTCAATTTCATTTGCACTTCTCCAAGGAAGTAGGAGGAGAAATTGACAGTATGTATTATAAGACTTGTGAATAAACAAAATGCAGTGGCAGTTGGAATGCTATATTTTTATTCATCTTGAACAACATACTCCTGTCTGTTACTGATATAAAATTAAGCAGTGCCGACTTACATCAGTTTATCCTTTTGAGTGTGGCATAGACTTACATGGGGGGGAAACTTCTGTGGGATTTATTTTCAGAAGCTTAATGCAACCAGTTCATCAGAAGGCAGCACAGTTGACATTGCCCCACCTGGAGAGGGTGAACAGGCAGAGATTGAACCTGAGGAGGCCCTTGAACCTGAAGCCTGTTTTACAGAAGGTAACTGGGGGAGAAAAATCCATACTTGAGAAATTAAGGGTTTGCCCCAGCGTTTTAGAACATTGCTGTTCCATTGGTTTTGTTCCGATGGTGGTCCCAACGGAAGATCAGCCTCATCAAGGGCTGTTCTCCACCTCCATCCCCCTCAGATCTCCAGTCAGTATCTCAGAGTCCTTTATGGCAGAACCCAACTTGTCTCTTCCTCCCAGCTTGGATTTTTTTTACCCCTTTTCATTTGTTGCAATTTCCTTTTCCTTTGGAGCCTTGAAAAACCCCAATAAGTCCCTGAAAGTTGCATAGAATTCATATTTTCAGTTTTTACAGTCTTTTTTTTTTTGTATTTACACAAAACTGGCTTAAATTTCCTGCCAGTTTCTTCCCAGGCATCAAATTTGTGTCTGTTTCTGTGAAATGGGAGCAGGGCAGGGTTAGAACTTTCAGGGAACCAAATTACAACAGAAAACACTTCAAAAATAGGGGTGAATTAATCTCCCCTTTCTGGAGTGGCTGAAGAGTCACTGGAACATTGGAAGAAACTGAAAAATACTTTTTCAATACTAAAAACCAAGAAGATTACATTGCTAAGTAGGAGATGTTGTCCCTACCCCCTTTTGGAGCACCTTCTGGTTTTTTTTCCCTTTTGATAGAGCTGCACTAACCGAAAATATGCAGTCTTGCCTTGTCCTGAAATGTGGCTGGTTACTCATGGTAGGTTGTCATGTTCTGTGAATCAGGTAATTGTGTGCTTTTAGCTGTCCAAAAACAAAACAAAGACACCCAGTTTATATCCAGACTGTATGCTACATGTGGATTTGCTGACTTTGAAAAAATAAAAACTTGACATGCAGTCTTAGAAGTGGGTGAATGGAAGATTTAAGGCCAGATGTTCACTTTTTCTGTTTGTCCACTTGCAAGCTGTCATCACATGGCCAGCTGTTTCTTTCTGTAGAGAAAACTATTGTTCTAGTTAAAAGAAAGTAGCTTGAGAGAGGGGATGAGTGATAAATAGTAGGAAGGAAAAGAATAAAGCAACTTCTTTCTTCCCAGTTTTCTTTAGCACCTAATAGTATTCTCCAGTACTGCTTCTCAGGAATCAAAAAATGACAACACCAAACTCTTAGTAGATGAAAGAAGCACATAACCATAACTTTTATCCTCATGGCAGAGACACACAGGAGGAGAATAAAAATCTTAAAGTCCTTTTGGGCATGCCCAGTGGAATGTTTTTTAAAAACACTAACTATACTCCCCACTCCACTTAAAGCCTCTCTGTCACATGCCACCTGCTTTTGAAAGTCACCTCAGGTCCAGAAGCAGTGTGCTTTGTGCATTTGGGGCCGCTGTTTGAGAAACAGCATCCCAAAGCCCCATTGCCAATGTGGAACTAATTGCCCAGTTCTTTGGATCCTGACTGAAATGTATTGCTTGAGCAGGAATGCACTACTTCTGGTCAGGAAATTGCATGCATGCTGCTGGATACATTTTATCTCATGCAAGAAATGCAGAAAAGACACACAGCTGCTACTGGCTTTCCACAGCTAATCAGAAGTGGGCTTTGGCACACTTTATTTGCCAGTAGAGCCTAACTGGCTGTCTTAGCATTCTGGATGTGACTATTAAAGTTGAGGCACAAGAGCAGCCATCTTCTTGCCTCACAAGAGTTATTGTGAGGACAAAATAGTGCTTACCTGAACTGTAAGGAACAAAGTGATGATTTAAACACAGCCAAGATCAAATTTATTTTATTCCAATAGTTAACGTTTTATGTTGCTCTAACACAGGCTGCGTCAAGAAATTCCCATGTTGTCAAGTGAGTATAGAAGATGGCAAAGGAAAAATCTGGTGGAATTTTAGGAAGACCTGCTACAGCATAGTTGAACACAATTGGTTTGAGTCGTTCATTGTGTTTATGATTCTCCTCAGCAGTGGTGCCCTGGTGAGCAAAAATAGAATTTAACATTTTCCTCAAAGGCTTAGCAGCAAGGTTTTAAAATGGGCATTATAGCATGCATACTGGCAAGGATGTAGTATATTTTCAGATTTGAAAGCATTTGTTAAAAAATAGCCACACATGGATAGTATGTGTGTGTATAAACTCAGGATTTGACTTAAGTAACCACCCCCCCACCCTAAAAAAAAAAAAGAAATGAAAGAAAAGGAAAAAGAATGAAATGAGAACGGTTTGCCCTGTTAGTAATTCTTTGGTACTATACCAGTAGAAAATGAACAGACTTTTTTCTTTACAGCACTCCGCATTTTTAAAATATGACTCGCTTTTGTGAATGCTAAGACAACAATTCCACCCTACTCTTTCTTACCCCAGGCCTTTGAAGACATATATATAGAGCAGCGCAAGGCTATCAAGACCATGCTGGAATATGCTGACAAGGTCTTCACGTACATCTTCATTCTGGAAATGCTTCTGAAGTGGGTGGCTTATGGCTTTCAGATGTATTTCACCAACGCCTGGTGCTGGCTGGATTTCCTTATTGTCGATGTGAGTACTTGAACACAAGGCTTGCTTTGCTCCTGCATACATTTTAGCAAGGTAAAAGCGTTGATATAACTTAACGTATTTCCAATAAAAATGGCTTTATGAAAACAAATGAATTGCAAATAGGAAAGAACACAGCTGTTCCACAAATAACAGTCCTTCCAGTATTAATAATTACTTAAGTAACTGCGGTATTGATGATTGTAATGCTAATTTGGGGACGGATTTGCAATGTCCATAAGATTCCAGAATTGCACTGGTCATTCATTAGTTATATATATTACGTGAAACTGGTTGTCACAGCATTCCGTCAGTAAAAGTCATGATCATTTAGAGATGACAGACTATGATGTCAGACCCATTGCATCCCCCTGACTCTGTGTATCTTCCTGTATTTTTATTTTCAGAGTGGACATTGGAGGTGATGAGTCAGGAGCCTGTGTGGATCACTGCACAGCCTTCTGCTTCTTGTTGCTTATCCTAAGATTCTCCACTACTGATTTGCATAACTTGTGACCAGCCAAGCAAACCACAGGCCATCAGCTCTGTGAGCATCTCACCAGCAAGCTGAGAAAGCTCCTGTTCTTTCTGCTTGCCTGTGACTTCAAAAATAGGGAGGCTGTCAAGCAGCTGGCAAATCATTATACATGAGTGATGGTGGATATAGGAACTCAGGAAGTGGCCTTATATTGACCATTGGTCCATCTAGCCCAGTATTGTCTGCACAGACTGGCAGTGGCTCTCTGGGGTGACAGGCAGGAGTTTCTCGTGCTCTGTCTGGATTTGCCAGGTAGTGAACCTGGAGTCTTCTGTCTGCAGAGTATTGCTGTACTGTTGAGTGATGCCTTTCCCTTTGGCTATGCTATCTCTGTGAGTGATCAGCTGTGCTCCACTGGACAGCTTGCAGGATGCACAGACTAGCTCTCCCTCTCCTTTCAGGATGGCATAAGGCTTTCATGTGGAAAAGGACAAAAATGCTTGCCTGAGGCAATGTGGCATGTGAGATACTAGTTGATGGTGTCACTTAATTCGCCCTTAGGGATGTGTGAGGAATCCAATAGAAGGATGAAAAATCCCAGCAGGATTTTGTGGTTAGGCCCCTTGGGTTCTGGTTCGCTAGTCCTGCACTGGCACTGGCTCACCATGATGTACATCGAACCAGTTTGTGGACTTCTGTCTCTAGGATGGACTGCTGTATATGCATCAAAAAAGGCTAAATGTGGAGGGGGAATGACCTGATTTGTGCAAACTGGCACATGAAAAGCAAATTTGTTCAAATTGTGCCAGCCCCACAGGCCTTTTTGAGACTGACTTGCCCACTTTGGCTGATTTTATGCAAATTGTGGTAGATCCACATGTTTGTCAGGTGCCAGTTTGCACAAAATACTGCAGTTTGCACAAGTGTTTGAAATGTGTAGAAACTGTGGCCTGTTTCTAGAGGTAGAAATCCACAGGAAAGAAACGCAACTCAGCCCACTTCCAATCACTGGACTGGAAGCAGGCATGAAGTTCATCGAGCTCAGATGAGTTGGACTTTATAATATTTGCACATCCTTCTTCAGCCTAGTTGGAGTTGTTGACAGACAGGTGCACTAGCCAATGTGCAGTCTCTTATTATAAATGTCTGGCCCTACAGGCCACCTTTCATGCTTTTGTGAGAAGTCATGAGGGTCCAAAGTCCATTGGATGCAAAAGTGGGATTACGCCATGGACAGAGTGGTCAGAACTGCATGGGTCTTTCAGTTCCTAAAAGCAGAAGGCTGAAGTACATTTGCAGGTTTAACATAAATTGGCAGAGATTATTGCAGGAAAAAATAAGGACTTGGTAATGGACTCCTCCTCCTTCCTTTTGAACACTTTGCCTGTTATTTACATGCAAACATCAGCCACCGCCATGTCAAATTTGGACACATGGAATCCAAGTATATGGATTTGTTCAGACCTGAATTTACTCTTGTAATATTTTAAGTAGAGCGGGCACTTGTGGGTGGTTCCTAAATACCATTCATGTAAAAGGAACTCTGAGAGCTGGATCCAGATTTAGACATACTTAGAGTAGATCCATTAAGTCTGTTGTGACTGATGCAATTCCCATTGGCTTCAATAGGTCCAGTTTTATTCATCCTTCCAAGGATGAATAAAACTGGACCCAGTTCCAGGTTTCCATATAGAATTATTTGCTGAGTGGTCTGAAGAATAAAAGATGGCAAATTGAAGGAAAAGAACATATACTGTTATTCTCTATCACTATCGTCTTTCAGCATCCACAAAGATGAAAAAATGTCCTTTATGTGTATTGGTACATGGGACTCCTGTGAATGCTAAAGATCTTCAGTGCAAAGGAAGACAAAGGCACACCTAAGAACCACTCTTTGTTATGGTGTTTCCCAGAATGGCTTGACAGACGGAGGGGGGCAGCCAGCTATTCAGAAGTATTCAGAGATGTGACAGGTGTTTGTAGGCTGAGTAAGTCAGAGCCAAAACAGACCTTATGTACTTTAAAACTGTGTTTAGCAGCTGTGCCTTTTTCTCTTTTACTTTAGAGTTAGTACAGGAGGCCCAATCCAGATTGGGAACCTCATGTGGGGGTAAGGGACATTCCACTGTGCCTACTCTAGGCTTAGAAAGACAATTTAAAGTAATGCTGGTTTTGGCCCTTAGAAAATGAGTCTTTGTATGGGTACCCTGCAGAGTGAAGAGAGAAGACACCAGTTCCTTAGGGTTTAAAAAAAGACAAGAAAGTTTTCTTTAACTTAAGGTACATAGCCTTCTGCATGCATGCCATGACAGATTGAGAAAGAAGCCTTCCTCCTTCCTTTTCAGTGTTTTCGGGTGAGCTCCCCAGCTGAGAGTCAATGGCTAGCCTTACTCCTACCCAAGACTCCTCACAGCTCACACCCTGGAGGTGTTGCTCCACCTTGGTCCTTGTGGCTTTGTGTGGGTGAATCAGATAAACTCCAAGCGAAGTACCCATTTCTGCTGCCTCTAGACTCAGCTTGGAGACAGATAGGTCTGAAGAATCCTCCCTTCATCTTGAAGAACTGGCTTGGTAGATTTTCTTCCTGTAAACCTTCACTGCATTGGCCAACCTCTGCTACAGGGACATTCTCCCTGCAAGCTGCTTCAGTGACAGGTCAGTGTGGCTTAGGTGAAAAGAGAATGTCCTCAGCCAGTCCAAGATTCTGAAGTAGGTCCAGAAAGCCAGAAACTGGTATAAACTTGCACAATGCACCAGGTATGTGGGTAAAGCTAAGATGAAAAAGCGAAAGAGGAGGCAAGAGAGGAGGGGCTCTGCTTTGTTCAGGCAATTATACCCACAAGGTGCATTGTTAGATCCTTGCATAGCTTCTCAATGGAGGAGACTAAATGGAGACAATTTTGGCATATATTATGCAGTGAAAACCAAGGACCATTTTTCCTTACATAAAACATCTAAAAAATAAAATTTATTTCATGTGTGTTATGCACATTTTGTACTGGTTATTCTAAACCTTCTTCATGATCCTCCCAAACATTATTTCAATAACTTGCTGATTTCTTACAGATATTTTAAACCCTGCAGGCTGCAAATCAGAAAAAAAACTGAAAATTAAAGTATCAGACTTTTATACCAGCCAGGTACAAAAGTTAGAGTTAGAGTTTTTCCTTTAAATGTGCCCTACCTAAAAGACTGCAGGAAGTTTTGTGGAACATGATTAATCCAAAGGCCTGGAGACTGTTGCTAAATGCCAAATTCATGGTCCACATGGGGTTGCCTCAAAATTCATTTTTGAGCATTATTTTCCAATCTCACAGCTCACTTGTGTTCCGGTCTAAAGTTTCTGCAGCAGTGGAGTAGTGGTAACTCTTGAAGTGCATTCCCTTATCATGATGACTTTCGCATAGCCTTTAGGAGAGTCCAAAAATCCAGGCTTATACGTATGGAATGGGCTTCCACGGGAGGTGGTCGAAGCCGCAATGGTGAGGGTGTTCAATGATAGGCTGGACATGCACATGGTAGGCATATCATGAGTGGAGCCGGCTGGAGCTGGGGGTCAGACTTGATGGCCTGGGAGACCCCTTCTTACTTGCTCTGTTTCTATGTTTCTATGTCTTTTTTAGCTCTTTTGGAAGTTAATGGGTCTTTATTACCTTTTCAAGACTATCACTCAAATTGTTTGTATTATAAAAGCTCAGAAAAGCTGTTGCTGGGAAACCCATTTTCCCACCCCTGACTGTAAAGGATTGCAGCTAAACTTAGAGGGAACAGGGGAGTGGCAAACACCACCATCAGCCTGGCTAATCAGAAGATCTTGGTGCTTCAGCCCTGTGAATGCTGGCTCCACTGCACCACTGCTGTGCTGGAGCCAGGGATGCAGTTGGGTGGTTCAGCCAGTACTGCACTGTGAGCCAACAGCAGGGATTCGCCTGCTTTCAGTCTTATTCTCACAACAACAACCCTGCAAGGTAGGTTGGGCTGAGAGTCTGTGACTGGTCCAAAGTCACTCAGTTGGCTCTGTGGCTACGTGGGGACTAGATCTCCTGAATCCCAGTCCCACACTGTTAACCACTGCACCACACTGGTCCAGACCCTCCAGGTAGAGAAAAGAACTTTGAAACCCTAGAGAGCCACTGCTGCAGGTCAGCATCAGCACTACAGGGCTAGACAGACTGGGTACAAGGCAGCTTCCTGTGCACTGTATAGATCAGGCAGGTTTCATAGGCTGTGTTTGCCTTGGTGGGCCACAAGCTGGGTGTTGCTTCTTCATGCTTACTTCATCCACACCAGGCCTGAGTCTCCATGTGAAGACAAGTTCTGAGCCCAAGTTCCACTGAAAGTGCAACTCAACATGCCATCGATGTATAGCAGCCCCTTGATCCTTATATCTGTATTCCATTGAAATGCCAGTAACTTTTTTTAACCCTTCTCCCCAACAGGTTTCATTAGTCAGTTTAATAGCCAATGCCCTGGGCTACTCTGAACTTGGCGCCATTAAATCTCTGCGAACACTGAGAGCTTTGAGGCCTCTGAGAGCCCTGTCACGATTTGAAGGCATGAGGGTGAGACAGTGATAAATGCATCTGGCATGATATGTGCATGATACATGGCTCTTTCTACAGAATAAGGGATGACTAATCCAGGCTGAAATGTTGCTCGGTTTCCTACTGTGTGCCTCAACCACCTCCGTTTCTAAGCCAGAAAAATAAAAAACCCTATAGTTCTGCAACTTCCTTGGAGGTTTCCCTTTGAATAAACCATTTAAGTGACTTAGGTCCCTTGCATGTATGTTAATTAAAACAATGTATTTCTGGATTATGTCAGTCATGGGAAGTTGCTCCCCTGTGATTCATTTCTCGTGCCACTGACATGTTTGAGTCTACAGGGCTGTGTGTACACTACACTCCCCAAATTTAAAAAATAAAAAAATCCAAAGGCTGAAGGAGGGGCAAAGAGCTGAGCTGAAACCCCTCTGAAAATCTCATTTGACTACCTGTGTGGTGCCTGACATTTGACAGGCAGTGCCCACGTATGCTCTGTGGTATCTTCATAGGCAGCAGAACAAGAATTGTTGCCCCGAGCCCCTCATTTTGTGCCCCCACAGAGCTGCATCCATACACACAGCACCCATACACTGTACATACATTTCTGACAAGGCTGCCAGCTTTAATTAAAAGAGGGATGCTTTCTGTATGAGCATCACTTGAAAATAGCAGAGTTCACAGTGAAGATGGCTATTGTCAATTCAGCAGTGGAATGAAGGTGAGCATGTATATTATGGTGGTCCACGTTGTGTTATGGTTTCAGTGTGATGCTGTGCGTATTTTGGTTTTTTATGGGTTTGTGATCAAGAAGTTACCCCCAAATCAGAAGATCCTTGACCCAATAGAGGCCCCAATACTCACAGAAAAACCAATTTTCTGTGAGTATTTTTCTTTTTTTTTTTTAATCATTTTTTTAAATGTGGAGTTGTCACCCTGTGGGGGTGGACAAGGAGGGCCTGTTCTATTTTCTAGGCAACAGAAGGGTTCAGATGGCCTGCAGAAATCCCAGTAAGCAGCATAGCCTGCTTGGGACTTACCCTGGGACTGCCATGCTGCAACCTGTAAATTCCCTCTGCATTCCAAGGAGATGCATGTAAGGCAGTAGGGTGCCCTGTGCATGGAAGGGGGCTTACATTGTCAGGGTGCATAGTGCTATAACACACTGTGTGGGTGCATTGTACTGATGCTTCTTCAAAGTGCGCCTTGTTTGATCTGCAATGCACTCTTGGAAATTATTGCTCACGCTTCCTTGGCTTCTGTGTTGGGGGATAGAATGTATCCAGTGTTAGGCCTATTTAGAGTAGATCTGTTCAAATGAATGGGACATAGATTGGATCTGCATAAGTAATGTTTATGGGCACCTGCACACATCTGACAGCTTGAAAATTGCCCTGGCACCATCACAAAATGGGTGTGTGACTGGTAAAAGCATCAGCCTAGACCTGCCATCTTGCTCTCCCCAGCAGGAGTCTGACCCCACATGGGGGGTAAGAAGGTGGGAGCAGCTGAGGGTTGCAATGCTAGCTGCCAGTAAGAAATGTTATTTAAAAAAAACAAACAAGAAGCAGGATGTGTATGGCACCTCAGCAAACTACATTGCCTACCCTCAGATTAGATTAAAATTCCTTGCAATCTACTGTCTAAATGTTACCATCCACAAAATTTTGGTAGAATCACAAAAAATGGGCCTTTGTGCACAAAGTCTTAGGTTGGCTCAGAAGGTACATCTTCATTTTGGAGTAAATTGCTGCATGTCATAATAAAAGAATTTTCCTAAGAGAGCAACTATTTAACGCATTCATCAATTATATATTGGCTATATTAACAAATATGTGTGTTTCTTCCTCTAGAAAGCTTTGTAAATTTGAAAGGCTACTTAAGTTTGGTTTAAAGTTATGCACAGTTGTCTCACCATTATTGTGAACTGTCAGTATTCCCACAACCGGAGAAACATATTTCCCTGTCACTGTACCGACATCTTGAGGCACAGACAGTAGTTTTATAGCTTTTGTTTATTTGGTATACACGTTTCAGACATTCTGTATAATTTGTTTTAGTATTCTTTGATTTCTATTGTTGGTATTTAACTTTTTTCTTTTTCTTTCCCCCTAGTGCACACAAATGTTATGATTCCATCTTACCACAATCAGGTTTTCTTTTCTTTTTTGCACCTACTTGTTTTTCTTGTAGAGTTAGTTTCTGCATCTTCGTTAACTTAAAAAAAATAGCACTAACAGTAGAAATTTCTGTTTAATGCATTGTTCTCCCACATGTATGTGTATATGTATACATGAAATAGCTCAAGTGTTGGATTCTAAAGATGAGAATAGAAGTCCAGAGGTTGTATTTTTCTGCAGTAAAAGACCAACCAGAATTTCTTTTTTTTCTTTATTTCTTCCTCTACACTAGGTGGTTGTTAATGCTCTCATAGGCGCAATCCCCTCCATCATGAATGTCCTTCTAGTTTGTCTAATATTCTGGCTGATCTTCAGCATCATGGGCGTAAACTTGTTTGCTGGCAAGTTCTACCACTGTGTTAACACCACAACAGGTGAAATGTTTAATATCAGCGAGGTTGAGAATAAAACTCAGTGTGATATGCTCATTAGCAACAATCAGCCTGCCCGATGGAAAAATGTGAAAGTGAACTTTGACAATGTTGGAGCGGGCTATCTTGCTCTACTTCAAGTTGTAAGTAATTTTTTGCTCTGCATCCCTGCATAAAAAGAGTATTCACATAACATGTTCAGCTTCCTTGGCTCCAGTCCAGAGCTCCACAAGAGTGGCACTTGCCTGAAACTATTCCCAACATTAAAGGCAGAAAGGAAAGCCCTTGAAGGCGTTGGCACTTCACGTGTAGACAGTCATTTTTGTGCTAGAAGAAATCCTGGATCAAAGATGTTTACATCGTTGGCCTGATGCCCTTCTTGAAATTTTGCTTTCATTAGAGAAAATATTTTGGTACCCCTACTGCAGCAGTATGCCTGACATCAACTTAGCTGTGTTTCGGGTTCCAGGCAACAACTTCATTTAGCCAGGAATTTAATTATTTTACGTGGTCTTTTAGTATTTTTAACTCCCTAGTTTCTAATTTTATCTATTTGTTTTTTATACATTTATTAGGTTGCTGGGGACTTTGTTTTAAACCACCTTGAAATCATTGACAAAAATACATTGCAAAGAAATATATACATATTGCATGTACCGTATTATTAGCAGAATTATATGAGCAAATGCCCACTTGACTTATCATCAGTCTCCACATTATAAAAATATGATATGTATTTTAATTATATATTCTATTTTCACAGGTTTTAAATACTATTTTAAATAATATTCCAAAGTATTGGAACATAGAAATAAGAGAAAGAATGAATCAAAGTACAGAAGTAAAACATTTAGAATCAATTTATACCAGTAAAACCAGGGTTAGTCAAGCAGTCAGGTTTATTTAAATAAAATGTTTTTAGAAGGTTGCTGAAAGCTAAAGTGTGACAGCTTTTCACTATGCCTTCCAAATAATTTCTATCATGGTAGTTTAAGCTCCCGCTTGGAAAGTCAGGTGACCTAGGCAATTCCTATATTGAACATATGTTAATCTTACAAACCAAATTTCAGTTTCCAAGTACTAAGTTTTTCATAGCATACGGCTGATAAGTGCAATTTTGTCCAGCCCAAAGGTTCAGGCTGCACATAATGAGAAGTCATTGTATGTGAATTTCCCTGTGAGGCACAGCCATCAGCCTCCGTGGGGGCACACTATAGCCTGTTGTTGCATGAGGTGTGGTGAGGGCAGGTTGTCCTTGAGGCGGTTAACAAGTCCCATGGATTGTTGGGTTCATACAGGCAGAGTGCATTCCTGCTACAGCTCACATATTTAAAATGATGGATACTGCAGCAGCAAACTCACAGGGAAATTTTCCCATGGTGGCTTTTCTTATTTGCATTCCAGGTCAAGGGCAAACAACTATTGATGCTTTTGCATTTGAACAGCCATTTTGGCAACATAAATGAGATAGGCTGGGAAATCAGAGACTGAGGAAGGGAGTACATATCTGGGGAGCGTGCAGGATTAGATAGAGATAGAGATGTTCAGCATCAGCACTGCAACATGGAAGCATTTTTGTTAGCCTCAGCATGGGGTCTCAACAGTGAATTGGACCTGAATGATTGTGGTAATGGAATGCCTATGGTTTATCTACTAGAAAATCCAGTTGTGAAACGAATGCAAGGCCAACTCTGGGTTGCTGCTGTAGCCTATATAGCTTATCTTAACCAGGAAACTGCCCAAAGAGGCATACTACCTCTTGGACAAGAATGGTCCAGTGCTAGGCAGGATTGCGGCCCTTTAGATACATCCTAAAAGCCTTTAGTAGCTTAATGTCTGTGCCTACCTGTTTGCCCTGCATGTCTCAAAAATAATTGCTCCATTTAAGCAGAATAAATATACTAGTACAACAGCAGTGTGTATCTGAGCCACACCACAGAACATAGAGCAAAGGAATATTTTTATGCCTCCATCCTATAGCTCTGAGAATTTAGTAGCAGATCACAGGTTTCTCCATAGCCTATCAAGGCATAAGATCATGTTGAAAGGTAATGATACAACTTGACTGCCAAATACTGGCAGCAAAATTTCTTGTATACATATGGCAAAGGTAGGATAATGCTGTGGCTGTTGTCTGAACCCTGAATTTAGTCCAGGTTTAGTCATATTTAAAGCAGACTCACTGAAATCTATTGGACCTAAGTTAGTCATGAGTAACATTGAGTCACATTGATTCGAGTGCACCTGCTCTTACTGGATACAACCTCCTGTATCTTTACAACTCTGTTGAACATTTCTGTTTTACTTAAAGGCTACTTTTAAAGGATGGATGGATATTATGTATGCAGCTGTTGATTCAAGGGATGTAAGTATTTCTTCAGTGTATTCTTGAATGTTGCATTCTGTAACTCATTAGATTATATTGGCTATACCTTCAATCAAAATATTAGGTGTTATTTAAAAAGATATATGTGAACATTACTAAGGTCTAGTAAACTAAGAAAACAAAGTCATGGCTCAATGACTTGGCTCCAGAATCTGCCTCCCATGAACAGAAAGGCACTTCTTTCCATGGCTATCTTCTGATCCACTGAAGTATTGTTCCTCTGATTGGAACATGGAGGTGCAACCCTTGCTGACCCTGCTACCCCTTCAAATCCCCTGAAGCTCTGGCCTGTGTGGGGGCAGCTTGGTAGGTAGCATTGCGGTCTGCAAGTAGAATCAGCAAAGTGTGGTTCCTGCCCCTTCCCCTCCAGCCAAAGCATCCTGACAGGAGCTTCAGAAGTGCTGTGATTGTCAGGAGAAAGGGCTGTTTCCAAACCAACGTTTCCAACAATGTGTACCAGTTCACACAACACAACAGCCCATCATTTACCAGCAGTGAGCTATGGTGCCTTCCAGCCACCATTAAGAATGTCTAAACCCCAACCAGTGCATTAAGTTAGGATTGTTTAACCCTCCAGCTCCACCAGCTAGGCTTGAATTGCATGACAAACCACATCCATGCTGGCCTGGGGCTTGCACATTCATAATGGCAGCTGTAGCACCCCAAAGGTGAAGTAACCCACCATGGACTGCCAAGTCATCTAAACCAAGTCAGTGCTTGCACACAGCTAGCTACATGTACTAGGTTGTGTGTTTCTGCATTATACTGAATTGCTGTGCTCGGAAGAAAATGGGCTGTTGTTTGTCTAGGGTATCTAATGAGGTGCTGTAATTTTCTAATTGATTGTAGGTAGAAGATCAGCCCTATTATGAGGACAATCTGTACATGTATCTTTATTTTGTTATCTTTATCATCTTTGGATCATTTTTTACCTTAAATCTTTTCATTGGTGTCATCATAGATAACTTCAATCAGCAAAAAAAGAAGATAAGTATTAAAAGTGTTTTCTCTGTGCTCTGGAAGTAAAACTATAAATTATATTGCCAAACATCAGTCTTACTTAGCATGAAGAAATCACCCTAAAACATTAGACTAATGGACATTTTTCATGTATACAAGTAAAATGCTACACAATTTACCATATATTTTATTCTAAGTTTGATTTTCATAGAAACATAGAAACAAAGTGAGTCAGAAGGGGTCTGCAGGGCCATCTAGTCTGACCCCCGGCTCCAGCCAGTTCTGTTCAGGTAATCCCCAACATGTGGTTGTCCAATCTTTCCTTGAACACCCTCACTGATGGGGCCTCAACCACCTCGCTTGGTAGCCCATTCCATATCCTAGGGGTCCTAACCATCAGGAAATACTTCCTGGCATCCAGCCTGAGGCCCTGTTCCTTGAGCTTTGCCCCATTGGAACGCATCCTGCCCTCCACTGCAGGGAAGAACAGGCCACGTTCCTCCTCCACGTGTTTCCAACAGCTTCACCTTTTCCCTGTGGGAAGCATCCTATCCTTTATTTACCATGCACACTGTCCAACATTCTACACCCATCCTAGCTGATTACTTTGCACCAATAGGATCTCCTGCCAGCGCTGCACATGGAGGAACCCAGGAAACAAACCAAAACTCTATTGAACTGATCCACTGCAGATGCTCTAGGAGGGACTGGGTCCTGCTACCCTCTGCATAGTTCTGGGTAGCGCCCTATGTTTTTATTTATACAAGGCTTCGGCAAGGGGCGGCATAGAAATGTTTTAATAATAATTAATAATTTCTACCTTATTACCCTTATTTAAAGTAAAGGTGAACACCGATAAGCATTTCATGGACAGGTGGATGCTCCAGAAATGAAGGCATTAAAACTAGTCTGGGCACATGATCCCGCCAAAGCTGTATCCCCCAGTTTCCCCCTGGGAAACTCAGGTGGCTTACATGGGGCTACCTCCATTTTTCCCCTTACCTAAGGCAGCGGGTCAGGCTGGCAGCCTCACAAGAACTCACTCCAGCATGCCCCTTTGCACTCATCAGCAGGAGCAGGCACTGCATGCAGGGGAGAGTTTGTCAGCTCCAGTACAAGAGGGTTCCATGTTGAAGTCCTCGTGTGGCCCTCAAAAAGTTGGACCTCCCTGATTTACATCCGTTTAGACAGCCATTTAGGACAAGCCATCACTTTGAATTGTTTCTGAAAACAAATGAATGGCCAATAAAATTTTAGGCCTTAATCTGTGTGGTGCTTTTTCCAGAGTGTTTACCGTCAAATGTGTTCATTAATCATAGCATAAATTAATCTGTAGACATGGCTGTAACTAGTTTTTATTTCATTTCTTTACTTTGGAGGACAGGATATCTTTATGACAGAGGAACAGAAGAAATATTATAATGCAATGAAAAAATTAGGTTCAAAAAAGCCACAAAAACCAATACCTAGACCAGGGGTAAGAATTTCCTTCCATTTCATATCCTTTAAGATAGATCTTTCACTATTTGTTGCATGGTCTCTGCTTTTGTTTCTAAACATGCCTAAATCATGTTTGTCACCCCAAACATTTTGACTCAATTAATTGAGGGTGAAATTACTATACGTACATCTGCACAATTAAATACATGAAGCTATAGGTAGTAAAGTTTATTTTAGTTCATGACATGCCTCACTGTAGATTTCTTTTCAAGTTGCCTGCTAAACCTTTCAAAGAAGCAAAGACTGAAGTATTATTTTTCCCCAAAAGCTGAAAGAGTGGGAAGGAGATTTGTCTTTCTGCAGGGAAAGATGATATGGCAATTTTTAAAAAGAAAAAAAATATAACAGGAAGTAGCACATTTGTAAGGAGAGATATTGAACATTATTGTATTTTTGTTTTCACAGAATAAATTCCAAGGTGTTGTCTTTGACTTTGTAACAAAACAGGCCTTTGACATCAGCATCATGATTCTTATCTGCCTTAACATGGTCACTATGATGGTGGAAACAGATGACCAAACGAAAGAAATGGAAACTATTTTATCTAGGATTAATCTAGTGTTCATTGTTCTTTTTACCGGGGAATGTGTACTCAAACTGATTTCACTCCGGCATTATTACTTCACCATTGGCTGGAACATTTTTGATTTTGTAGTTGTCATTCTCTCCATTGTAGGTAAGATCCATTTGTTTTTGAGAATGAATGGGGACCAGAGTGTGATTGTAAATGAATGAATGAACTAAAACATGGGATTTTGTGCATTTTGATTACTCAGCATAAGATTTTGTAGTGACAAACCATGATTTGGTGTTACCCGAATGAGACTTATCTGATTTATTTTTATTTTTGCTTAATTTCTACTTCATACAAACCACAGTGTGCCATTACGTGGGATCAAAAAACTATAGTCTGCTCTGCTCTTGTCTTCCAACCTAGAATTGCAAACTTCAGTTTAAATGTGCTGATTTACACTGGCAGATTGTGGCATAAGGCAAGAAGAGGCAAGGGAATCCCAGGATGTGAGGAAGAGGAGAGAGGATACAAAGCTTGATGCTACATTTGAATGACATAGTCATATAGGCCAAGCCCTATGGCTAGGGGTGCCTATTCCCATCTCCATTTCAGTGTTAATAGAAATTTGTGCCCCAGGTATCCATGTCTCTACAGATGGGTAGTTTGTGAAATGCCGTTTGTCCAGAATCATGTTTGTGTTTGCAATTAGGCTGCACACACATTTTGTAGTCTAATTATGCATGCTGCAGAAAAGAGGCTCTAATTTACATTGAGTAGGTTCAGACAACATGATAACTCACCCTCTGGTTGAATTTGCATTGAATGTGGGTTGTTGTTGAACTGAGGCTTGTTGATGAAGTGTGGGCTATTGTGTTGTCCGAAACCAACTGCACAAAGGAAGCTATGAAGAGAACCCAGGGCTTGTTGCTGAGTTGTGAGCTGTGGGTTGTTCACCATGGTTTGTCATCTCAGTCGGGTTCAGCCACCATAAGAGCCTATGTTTCAGCAACAACCCCATGGTTCATTGCTAACCCATACTCAGCCTTTGAACAAGGGTCATTATGTTGCCTGAATCCAGCCATTGACTTGCCCTAATCCAGCAAGAAAAAAAATCTGTTTTTCATATGGTCATACAGGAACAGAAAGTGCAGGAACAGAAAGGCTCTGCAGAAAGTGGGGCACCGGCAGTTTGAAGATAATTAGGCTGCTGTTGCCTACTAATGCAGCCAACAAGTTTCACACGATGCAAAGCTTCTATTGACAGCTAATGAAGATGTTGAAATGATCTCTAGGCAACAGACCATGTGATTTTAAAACATCATTTTAAGTTGCACATAACACACCATAGCTGTTGGTAAGGGACAAGCTTCATGATTGTACATGGAGGTTTGCATGCGGAGAAATGGTCCTTCAGTCTTCTGCTTCTTCAGCAGAGATCAGTCGGGGAAGGACAGGGCTGAACACACAGCCTGTGTGGACTGCATGTGTGGCTTCTATCAAATCTCCATGGAGACAGGCTCCTCACACAGCTATTTCCCTACCCAAACAGGAATAGTATTAATGTCATCTATACAGACTTGTGCATAATGAATGTGCATCCGCTTCTTTCACAGTGTAAATTGCAATGTGAAGGCATGATTGGCTGTGGTATCTGGTGGTGCTGACAAGCTGCAAAATATATGTGTATATGTTAGCTAAATGAGTCAAACCATGTTTTTTATGTAGGGGGTAATGCACATGTAGGGAAATTATCATGAACCCGGGAGAAGAACCCTTTGGGAAACCAGAAATTTGCAACTTCATGCATCCTTACCATAATCTAGCTTACACCCTTATGTCACCCAATTCAATTTATTTGATAGTTTGTTTTTAAAAAAACAAGTAAACAAAAACATTACAATACAGAGCCAGGGAGTTTTACAAAGCGTATTGTGCTTTCAAATCAATTGATTTAAAACAGGGATGGGCAACATGTGGCCCACGGACTTCAAGCCATCTGCTGCAGTTGATTGTGGACTTGTCACCATACTGCCAGAATCCCAGCAAAGTTGGGATTCAGCTGTTTGGCAGGTCGGGTAAAGCTCTTTTCTGCTGGGAAAGAGTCTGCATGAGCCTTGTTTCCAGTGGGGCCAGCACAGTCCCCCAAGCCTCTGAAGTTGCCTACTCCTATTTTAAAATTTGCCTAAGATAACCCTAAACATCAACTTCATTTTTCTTCATTGTTAAGCTCTCTGCATGTTACATTACATCTGTGCACCAGCATCTGTGCAATGTTCTCTTGGCCTCTGACTAATATGGAAATAATTAGCAATAATTTCACGTTAGTTTTTTTAGGGTAACTTGGATTTTGGACTTAATGGTCAGGTCATGTTCCCTTAGTAGCAAATATTTGGGCGATAAAGCAAATGCTGCCTTTAAATACTTTTCTTTTGCAGGTATGTTCCTAGCGGAGATCATTGAAAAATACTTTGTGTCACCCACCTTGTTCCGAGTGATCCGACTTGCCAGGATAGGTCGCGTCCTGCGTCTCATCAAGGGCGCAAAAGGGATCCGCACGCTGCTTTTTGCCTTGATGATGTCTCTCCCGGCCTTGTTTAACATTGGCCTCCTCCTCTTCCTGGTCATGTTCATCTACGCCATATTCGGGATGTCCAACTTTGCCTACGTGAAGAGAGAGGCTGGGATTGACGACTTGTTCAACTTCGAAACGTTTGGCAACAGCATGCTCTGCCTCTTTCAGATCACCACCTCTGCGGGCTGGGACGGCTTGCTGGCGCCCATTCTCAACAGTGGCCCACCAGACTGTGACCCTGAAGTAGACCACCCGGGAAGCTCCGTCAAAGGAGACTGCGGCAGTCCTTCGGTTGGGATCTTCTTCTTCGTCAGCTACATCATCATATCGTTCTTGGTTGTTGTAAACATGTATATCGCTGTCATTCTGGAGAACTTCAGTGTCGCTACTGAAGAAAGTGCTGAGCCTTTGAGCGAGGATGACTTTGAAATGTTCTATGAGGTCTGGGAAAAGTTTGACCCAGATGCATCGCAGTTCATCGAATATAGTAAGCTGTCTGATTTTGCCGCTTCCCTGGATCCTCCTCTCCTAATACCAAAACCAAACCATGTTCAGCTAATTGCAATGGATTTGCCCATGGTAAGTGGTGACAGAATTCACTGCCTTGACATCTTGTTTGCCTTTACGAAGCGTGTTTTGGGAGAAAGCGAAGAAATGGACTTACTCCGAGTACAAATGGAAGATCGATTCATGCAAGCCAATCCTTCCAAAGTTTCATATGAACCAATTACAACCACACTAAAACGAAAGCAAGAGGAGGTATCTGCTACCATAATTCAGCGGGCTTTCAGGCGTTTCCTCTTAAAACAAAAAGTTAAAAAAGTGACCTCTACATATAATAAAGATAAATGCAAAGATGGGGAAGTCTTGCCCATCAAAAACATAATCACTGATAAGTTTAATGGGAACTCCACGCCAGAGAAAACAGATGAGAGCTCTTCCACCACCTCCCCACCTTCCTATGATAGTGTTACAAAGCCAGGCAAAGAAAAATACGAAAAGGGCAAAACAGACAGAGACTACAAAGGTAAAGATGTCAGGGTTAGCAAAAAGTGAAACAGACTGCTGGAATTCTGTTTGTGTGCAAAATTGTTTACAGCCTTTGATAGGGATGTATTTGTCTGCAAGACTCCAGTGGGAGATTTATGCCAAACTCTCAATTTTTACTTTATAAATATATTACATATATAAATATATATATATATATATATATATATATATATAAATCTCTCCAAAGGTCAGTGCCTAAAACAAGACAGTGACAACAAGACCCATCGTCAGCAGACTGTAGTTCTGTAAAACAGAGTGACAGGCTGTTCTCATTACAACTGACATGGTAGAAGGGAGAGACGATCCGGCTGCTCAGAGAGAGGCGTGCAAAGCTATAACCTACGTATTGAATATATTGCAAGACACTTAGTAAGTTTTTCACTGTGTATATTTCAACTGCCACATTTGCCATATTTTTACACACACACACAAACACACACACACACAGTGTAAGTGAATTTTATCATTTTTAAAAAAATTGCAGGGTGTTTGCTATTATATGTGACTATTTTTGTAAAGGGGTTTTCTGTTGAGGTGGGAGGGAAAGGGTGGGGTTACCAGGACCAGGTGTTCTATTGCCTAATCTCTCTAGCACATGGACAGAGGAGCAGTCCGCATGGAGGCATGCCGCACTTCTAGAACACGCGTGAAAAGCCAGTGTGACCTCACCAGGAAGAGCTTGAACCAAGTCTCTACTTCAGGTCAGCTCCGATGGTTTTTTAAAGAAACTTTACACCTTCTGTTGACAAGGGGCAAACACTCTTGTGCCTGCAGTTTATTTTCAGACTTCCCGAATGCATTATTTTTAATGCTTAGCACTAAGTCCCAAGCACACACGCGCACACACACATGCACAGAGAGGTAAAGCTTTGCCTTAGGGATTTGTCTAACTCCAATCCTTCGCCTAAGGTGGTGGAATCTTCTCTGCACTGAACATTCACCTGCATCACAGGTTAATTCCTAGAACGGAATCTCACAAATACAGCATGCCATCAAGCAGGACAAAGGAACTAACCAGGTGTCCCCGTTCCGGAGGTGCCTGCTGATTCAATACATTGGTCGGGAAAAGAAAGCAGCATATAGCTACGACTTGAAGAGGAAAGAAAGGAAGGGGCTTCAAAGCATTACTTTGTCTTAAATTCCTCCATCGTCATCTGCTCTCAGTAGAGTTCATGCCTAAGTTCTGAAACAAGCTCAGTTCTAATATGTGATGTAAATATTCATTTTACTCAGTTGTATATAGGTGAGCAAAGAAATAGTCTGGCCATAGTGTTTTTCTGCAACCATGTGCCACAGCAGGCCTAGCTTACAAGCCCTCGACAGGTGATACCTTGTGTTTTGTACCATTATAGATAACTCAGAGGGTGCTGATGCATGTGAATATTGCCTTTGCTACTATTGTTCCTTGCTCCTTCCACTAACCACTTTGATTTTCTATAAGAAGTGGTAAAGTGAATGACAATTCCATCATTTCTTCATATCACTGAACAATAGCTTGTAGTTTTTTATGAGCCTTTGGGGGGAGGGATTTTTACATTCGGGTGGCTACCATATGGTCAGGAGAACAGGTGATTCCTAAGAGGGGCTTCTCATCCACTGCAGCTATTACTTTGAACATTACAAGAGCTATTCATGGTGGTCCATGGTAGTGAATCTGCTTTGGGGATCCGCACCATGCATGGCTCTTGTTAAGCAACAAATTAAAATGCTAATGCATGAAGAACCTCACTGAAATAGGAGTCGCCAGTCTTCCCTATATATGGTGCAAACCAAGATGGTATAGGGAATACTGCAAGGTGATACTGCAGTTTAGCATATATAAATAATGTAAAAAGAGAAAGAAAAAAAGAAAGCCGCATATATAGAGATAAAATTATGTTCAGATTCATGTAATTTTCTTTTCCACAGTCACTTTGTTTACTTTGCATTCATTGTATCTTTCAACTGAGACCTCCACGATACAAAAAATAAAATGAAATAAAAATAAAGACATCAGTGAACATTTGTTGAATGTTATATCTAATAAATCGCTCCACTAAGGGGTTTTGGTTTTAAAAAAGATCTTCCTTGCAGCAGCAGCAGTTTCACCCCACCCCATAGGTAAATTGATTGTGGGTGCTCTGCCAAATCTAGTTTAAAATTTCGGCAAAGTAATAAGGACCAAGGATCTGAGATGTATATTGCATTATTGTGACAATAGTATTTAGTTTTACAGTTATCAGATATGTCTGCAGAATTTCTAACACAGTGTTTTACAGTGAGACCCTATGAATGTCTACTCAACAGTAAAGTGCTGGGTTGAATGGGCCTTAATCCCCTGTAAATGAGTATAGGACTGCAGCTACTCAGTGGATGGCAGACAACACCTAAACCATAAGATTAAGGTAAGGACTTAATTGTGGGTTGGATCCAGGATTTGCCTCCTACAGGAGAAAGGGACATTCTGTGACATGAAGGATTCTGCTCCCAGAAGGTCCCTCCAACTGATGTTTCCAGATCCCTCTCCCCACACCAGTGCTCACTGCATTCAGCAGCATCTGCTGACTCTGTGCACAGAGGGTGGGAGGGTGGGAAGGAGCTGAGCGAGGAAGTCCATTCCTGTCAATGCAGTTGGTTCAACTTATCCAACCCAATATTCATAAAATTTGCTCACCCTGAGTGTTTATTCTCATCATCTCATATTGTTTGACACACGTTGACTTAATCTTTTCAAAACACAGTATGAAACTCACTCTGTTTTCTAAAGCACAAAATAGCAAAAGGTTCCAATTATAAAAGAAGAGTCATGATGGATCAGATCAAAGGCTTCTTTATCTTTACCATATCTGCAGACACCAGTTGCTGAGGAGCTGGGCAGGGGAGGCCTTGCACCATCCTGCTTCAGGGATCCTGTGGACAGCTGGGTTGCCGCCGTGTCTGCATCCTAGATGCTCTGATCCGGCACGGCTTTTCCCACGTTGTTATGCTCTTAAGCCTCTCTAGTTCAAGTGACTAGTCAAACAGACATGGAAGCCCAATAAACGAGGTAATCCATAATCATGTGACTGATAACCTTCTCTGTAAGTTCATCTAATCCCCTTTTAAAGGTCTCTGAGACAGTGGCTATCACTATGCCGTGTGGTAGCAAGTTCTATAGTTTGACTATGTGCCAGATGAAGAAATGCTCCTTTTCTTGGTCCTGAATTTTCCATATTCCAGCTTCGTTAGGTGACCCTGGCTTCAAGTATATACCCACACTTTGCATAATTTTGTGTACCTCTAGCATGCCCCCCTTCCTTATCTGTTAAGGTAAAAAGCCCTGATTGTAGTCATGGTTGCTGAGTCATTCAAGATCCTTTGCTGTTTTGGTTGGTTCTCCTCATCTGCCGCTCAGAAAGGAGCATTGATGAGAACTGTACACAATACTCCAAGTATGATCATGCCATAGGCTTGTACAAAGGCATTATGATATTGGCAGTTTATTTTCAGTGCCTCTGCTATTCATCCTCGGGATGTGTTTTTCATAACAGCAGCACACTAAGGCAATGTTTTTGTCAGAAGAGGAAGACATGCATTTAACGATCAAGCTAAAACTAAAGGTAGCCTATTTCTTTTTAGTAAATTGCTCACTTTGGAAAGTCTTAGTCAACTGCATGAAAGATGTTGCAGCTCTTAAAATCTAACACAACAAGAAGCCTTGAAAACGGGGGCCTGCAACAGACACTGCAGTGCAGAGAGCTTGAGTTCCATCAGCCTCACCCAGGGCCAGTGTAAGCTGTTCTCCAACCTCATCTGTTTTCGGAGATTTTCGAAGGGAAGGCACGGCATCCTGTTTATTACGGAAAGAGAGCAGAGAGCTGTGAAGTTCCTTCTATGTATACTGGTTTGTACAAAGTTTCACACAGTAGGAGCTTCAGTGAATAGTGTGTTGGTGCTCACACATCCCATAAAATGGCACAATGGGAATGATGTTACATCATGACAGTACCTTTCACACTGGGGCTTATAGGACTAATGCAGCAGCAAAGCGCTCTCACTTGCTCTGTGTGTGTGTGTGTGAGAGAGAGAGAGCTCTCTGCTGCTTCACCCACATCAAAAATGACTAAGATTTAGACATAATCCCTCCATATAATCAAAATTTGCGGGGCTTTTTCAGCCCCAACTCCTCAAGAGTGCCAAAAGAGTGAATATCTTGGCCAACCTCTAGTTGTATCAGCTTGGCAGATGTGCCCTTAGGTAGCATTTGTGTATTATGCTGAGGGTATGGTGGGATAGGAGATAGGCACTGATGCCCAGTCCAAATACCCCTACAGGGTTCCCACTTTCAGCATCAGAACCATAGCATCTTGTCCTATAAATCACTATGGTGGTCTGGTTTCTTATTGGATTGCATGCTAAGCTTGTTAAATGCATTAGCTGAGCTTCATCCGCTACTCTTTTTATCTTCTTTTATTCTGGATCCTATCAAAAATCATTATTTCTTTGCTTTCTGATTGACGTCACTTTGAGTGGAGGATGGATTGAATACATGCTGACGTGTTGAATTATCACTACAAAATGCCTCAGAACACACACACGCATTGTCACTCCAATCCACAGTACTGCCCTTGCTCTCATAAAATTAAATATTTCATTCTTCCTGATAAGAAATCCCCTGCAATCTGAATGTTAGGCAGAGTAAAGAGATAAATTATACTGCAGTAACTCTGAGCAGCGTGAACTGAAGTGCATCCAATTTCTCTGGAGCGAAAGCAATCACATGCATCTTGGCCGCAGGAATTAGGTTTGATGCAGATTCAGGAAGACATATCATGAAGAATTTATATCAGGCAGGCAAGCAGGCATGCCAAATACTCTACACTAAAGTAATTTCTTGGTTTAAACAATGCCATATAAAACATTTTTCACACAGCCACTTAGGAGAGGATCCAAAAGCAGGAGTCAGCCCCAAATGGTCTCTGAGTTTCAAATAATACATAGTTTTGGTTTTGAGTACTGCTGCTGGAAAGTGTTGAAGACAAGAAAGG